TGTGTTTTTAAATGATAAATGGGAGAAGTGTTAAAGTAAGGAGGAGTAATTTCAAAACTTGATTTCAAAATCTTAAAATTACTAAAATATTTTGTTATATCAAAAAGGGGGAGATTGTTGAAAACATTTTGATATTACGATATAACAAATTAAGTTAAATGAATTTTAAGATTTTCCAAATGATTTTCTAAGTATATTCGACTGAATTATTCGAATATCAAAACATTACTCCAAATCTTTCAAAGATCATTTTTAATCCTTACTCAAAGTGTAAAATTAAGTTTTAAACTTAAAACAATTTCAAAAAAAAAATTACAAAGTATTTCGAACCATTTCAAAGCCAAAAATTCCAGATTGCTCAGAGGGAACCGATTTCCCCCCAAGGGGGTACCGATTCCCCCTGAATGGTTTGGCTCCGAGAATTCCAGTATGCTCGGAGGGAACCGATTCCCCCCCAAGGGGTATCGATTCCCCCCCTTATAGAACGGTCGAAATATTTGAATTTTACACTTAGGGAACCGATTCCCCATAGGGGGTACCGATTCCCCCCACGCTCCAAATTGTTTTATTAATTGTTTTCACACTAAAACGGCTATATTATTTTCTCTAATCATCCCCAACGTTCAGAAGTGATTCATGGTGTATTTAAGCAAGCTTAGAAGCCATTGATCAAAAACAAGAAACATCAAGCAATAAGAAATCATAGAGAAACAAGAGAGAAAGCATCAAACACCAAGTTTGTGCAAATCAAGCCAATTTTCCTTTCAATATTCATTTTGCTTTCAAAGAACACCATTTGTGCTCATTTGTAATTATTTGTGAGTGTTCTTTTCTTGTTCTATAATTGTGCAAACATCTTACCTTGTGAGGTTTTCCTTGTAAGTTTGCAAATTTGTAATCTTCTCTTTTAGAAAGAGTGTTCTCAAGAATTGGGTTATATTCTTGAGGGTGTTGTAAGGTTATCTCTTTGGCCTCAAAAGAAAGAACAAATTAGTGAATTTGTTGGAAAATCCTTAGTGTGGATAGCTAAGGTAGTGGACGTAGACTTTGATTAAGAAAGTCGAACCACTCTAAATTGATGTGCAATTACTTTCAATTTTCTACAAAAGCTTCCGCCAAATTTTTAATTGCCAATTCACCCCCCTCTTGGCCAATTCCGTCAATCGATTAACTCAACAACTTTAAAGTAATAGGTTCTGAAATTCCAAGTATCGATACTTTATACATGTGTATCGATACATTTTGCGTACTGTTGAGTTAATCGATCGACGGAATTGGCCAAGAGGGGTGAATTGGAAATTAAAAAATATGGTGGAAGCTTTTGCAGAAAATTGAAAAGATTTGCACAGCGATTTAGAGTGGTTCGACTTTCTCAACCAAAGTCTACGTCCACTACCTTAGCTATCCACACTAAGGATTTTCCAACAAATTCACTAATTTGTTCTTTCTTTTGAGGCCAAAGAGATAACCTTACAACACCCTCAAGAATATACCCCAATTCTTGAGAACACTCTTTCTCAAAGAGAAGATTACAAATTTGCAAACTTACAAGGAAATCCTCACAAGGTAGATTATTTGTACAATTCTAGAACAAAGAAAAGAACAATAAAAAATGAATACAATTGAGTACAAGTAGTGTTCTTGAAAGCAAAATGAATATTGAATGAAAAATAGGCTTGAAATTCTCAAACTTGAGGTTTGATGCTTTCTCTTTGATTCTCTCTTGATTCTAGTTGCTTGTTGTTTCTTGTTGTTGATCAATGGATTCTAAGCTTGTTTAAATACACCTTCAAATGATTCTGAACGTTGGGGATGATTAGTGGAGTCAATAGAGCCGTTTAAGTGTGAAAACAATTAATTAAAGCAATTGGGAGCGTCAGTGCATCGATGCATACCCTAGGTGCATCAGTGCATCAGTGTAAAATTCAAATATTTTGACCGTTGGACTCTCAGTGCATCGGTACACTAAGAGTGCATTGATGCATAAAATGCATTCGATGTTTTGAAAAACCTGAGTGCATCGATGCATGGTCTTGTGCATCGATGCATCAAATGCACTGAGTGCATCGATGCATGGTATGTGCATCGATGCATAAAATGCATTCGATGTTTGAAAAATTAATTGGTGCAACGATGCATGGATTGGTGCATCGGTGCATCACTTTGAAAAATTGATTTTGGGCTTGATTTTGGTTCAAAATACTTTGTGAAAATTGTTTCAAAATTAGTTTAAGTATAAAACACAATTTTACACATTTAGTAAGGTTTGAAATTGATCTTGAAAGACTTGGAGTAATAATTTGATATTCGAGTAATTAAATCGAATATACTTAGAAAATCATTTGTGAAATCTTAAAATTCATTTAATTTAATTTGTTATATCGAAACATCAAAATGTTTTCAACACGTACAAATTGTTTAAGAAGCATACTAGAATAAAAGTAATCATACCGGCATAAGAAGTATCAATAGTTGGACATTTTCATACTTTGCATACGTTGTTTCAAAATTATAAATATCAATACTTTAATAATGTGTATCAATACATTTGACGTACAAATTGTTTGACAAGCATACTGGAATAAAAGTATCCATACAGGCATAAGAAGTATCGATACTTGGACATTTTCATACTTTGCGTACATTTTTTTGAAATTATAAATATCAATACTTAAATAATGTGTATCGATGCTTTTGACGTGCAAATATCGATACTTTAATAATATCAAATTTCTTCATCTTTTGGCATTCAATATACTGTCAATATTTGAAATTTGTAATCAATTTCAAGTTCTTAAATACTTTAATCCAATTACCATTTCAACAACAATTACACAAATATATTGATACTTACTAAAAGTACATATTTTCACCCAATGGTTGCTTTCGATTTTCTTCATTGTTGATACTCTCGGGCTCTATTTCAATGTCATCTTCGCGAAGAACAATTGCGAGATCCATTAACTTCATTTTCCTTCATATATCAGTTTATGAACATTCAAGTATTAAATTAAATCAAATCAAATACAAGTTACATACAATTTATTCAATATACAAATATCGATAACTAATCCTATAGTAACCACTTGCGTTCAAAGGAATGAGAATAGTATCTAATATAAGTATCAATATCTTTATACAACATACAATATTAATTTCTACTTATAACGTTATATAAAAGTATCGAAATTTATTTTCTATCTATAATATCAGTTTCTACCTATAATCGATCACAAATCCTTCTTTACTTCGAAAACTCCAAACCCTAAAACTAACTCCTATTTTTTAATACTACAATACTAAAAAATTAGGGTTTTGAAAACATACTTTTTGATTCGATTGCAACAACAAACAACTAAGCTTTCAAAAACGTCTTGCTTCTATTTCACAGCAACTAATACGCTTCGATTTTTAACCGATTACGTTATTTATATAAATAACATACTTTAGGAATTAAACGTAATGCCCCTTCAAATTCTCTATTAGCAAATCCTTTGATATTTTAACCGATTATGTTATTTATATTTAATCGATATCATTCCCATTGTATCGATACTTTTGTGTAAGGTATCGATACTTTCGAGACTTTTTTATTTCTTTTTTAATTCCTAAAGTACCGATACTATGGTACATATACTCATAAACGTATCGATACTTTCAACAATTCCGGTAGTGCTTTACTGATTTTTTCAAATTAAAACAGGTTATATTGTCATGTATCGATATATGTGTCTAAGGTATCAATACTTTATAGGCTTTATTATTGCAATTGTTTAAAATTCCTAAAATACCGATATTTTGGTACATATAAAAGTATTGATACAAATTTCAACCATTTCAGTAGCTCTTTACTGGTTTTGTCAAATTGAAATCGGTTTTGTCAAATTTAAATATATTATATTGTCATGTATCGATACATGTGTATAAGGTATCAATACTTTATAGCCACTATTATTGTAATTCTTTTAAATTCCTAAAGTCCCGATACTTTGGTACATATACTTATAAAAAGTATCAATATAAATTTCAACAATTCCGGTAGTTCTTTACTGGTTTTGTCAAATTGAAACCGATTTTTTCAAATTTCAACATATTATATTGTTATGTATCGATACATGTGTAAAATATCGATAATTTATAGCCGCTATTATTGCAATTCTTTTAAATTTCTACAGTGCCGATACTTTGGTACATATACTTATAAACGTATCGATACAAATTTCAACAATTTTTATAGCTCTTTACTGGTTTTGTCAAATTGAAACCAATTTTATTAAATTTAAATCGATTTTGTCAATTTCCAATTGATTTTATTAAATTCGTTATCTGTTTTGTCAAATTGAAACCGAATTTGCCAAATTTCAACTTGTATATTTTCATATATCAATACATGTGTGTAAGATATAGATACTTTATAGGCGTTTTTATTGCAATTCTTTTAAATTACTAAAATACCAATACTTTTATACATATATTTATAAAGGTATCAATACATGTCTACTTTTAATCGATTTTCTTCACTTTCTTATATATTACTATTTATATCAATATTTCTCTGTATGGTATCGATACCTAGCGATATACAAAATTTATCGATTACCAAGGTTTTTTTAATATTTTTTCATATTTTTCACTTATAATATTATTATTAATCAACAATTTTGATAGCGCTTAACTAACTTTGTTAAATATCTTATTAAATTTTCTATAACGCCATTTCTTAATCGTATATTAGTCCGTCTTTCATTATATATTCCCTGAAAATCGCCCAAACCTTAATTAATTTTAAAATATACACACACAAAAAAGACAACTAGAAATGGTACAATCTTGTTGACCCATACAGAAACCAACGGTAAACCACCAGGCAAAAGCGCGACCACATCAGCTGATGTTTCTCTTTGGACATGTAACGAGAAACTTGATGGGTCTTGACAAAACACGAGGTTCAAATATTGCTCTGCCACTGCTAGTGCTAACAAATTATACAATAATAACAATTTAAAAATAAAGAGATTAGAAGCGCTAATGAAATTCATTTTAGAGCAACCGACAGCTGGAGGTTCATGAAGAACAGTATCAAAATAGTCAATTCCAAAGGTCTCGCTATCCATAACCTAATCCTACCGGCTAGAAACCATTTTTTACTGACATGGAGCCCACCCCATCACAGAAAAAGTTAAAACTGACAATGTAAATCAAAAGATTAAACGGCATTTAGGCTTCCACGTCTGCGCACTTCTTGGCAGGGGAGCAGATAAGCCAAACGTATCCATATGGATCCTTCACCTTGCCCACGCGACCACCGCAGCACGCGTCGTCTCCCTCAGTTATCTCACCCTCCGCAACACCTCCAGCGCTCACAGCCTCGGCGATAGCAGCTTCTACGTCCTCAGTCTCGAGGCAGAGCACACATCCGGCTCCTTCGGTTTTCAACCTGCATAAATGAAAACAAACAGAGTTACGACACCAAAAGCGATAAACATGGCGATTGAACTAACCTGTTGCATAAGTCACGCTAAAAAAAACTGTTTCAATAATGTTTAAACATTTTTATAATCCTCATGAAAGTTTTTTTAGACGTAATAAAAAAAACATTTGGAGCCAAACAGCAAGTAGAAAAGATCAGAAAGGAAGATTAAAGGCAGGAAAAAGAACAAAATATCCCGTAACAATAAGATAAATTACAGATCTAATATAATGGGAGCTCTAAACTAAAACATCGCAAAAGCAGGATCCGAATGCAAAATGAAAAACCTAAAAAAAAAAAGAGAAAATGCGGAAAATAAAGTTCCTACCAAACAAGAACACGATCTAAAAAGGTATAAACGAAACCTAACAAAGAGTTCACTACTCAACGATGGATGAACGCAAAAGGGGAAATAACCGGAGATTAACAGTAAAAGAAAGCGTACAAAATAAAAAAAACTACAAAATATAGAGGGGAGGAATAAAGAAGCTTACGGAGCAGAGCTTTCAGAGGTGTCAGAAACGAGAATGGTGGAGCCAGCTAGCTCAAGTTGAGCGGAGAGGATGTGAGGGAGCTCCTGCTCGGCTTTGCGCTTAGGGTGAACGGTACGGTCAACCTCAACAGCGCCGAACGCGGACTTGTAGAACTGCACCGCATCAGCCGCCTTGGGTGCCTCCACCATCAGCTGAGGTTTCAACGCCGTGAAAGTCACCGCAGCTACCTTCTCGACTCCTCCGTTCTGGACCTCCTCCTGTGCCATTGATGAAGGTAAAACAAAAAGGCTTTCGCAGAGAAACCAAAAACCTAGGAAACAGAAAACGTCGAAAGGAAAGTCGAAACCAAAAAGAGAGTATAATGACAAAGGTAAAGAAGCGAGCGTTGGGTATACTTATAGAAGCGGGGATCAGGAACCGTTTAAGGATAATATTGGTATTTTATATGATTTTTTGTGATTCCTATTTTGTCCTGTCGTTCATTGTTGTTTTATATTTTTCAAGACCAAAAGGCCCTTGGCATGTCATGTACTCGAAGCTCATTGAGATTTAACGTTTGTTATTCACCGGCCCACGATCTTCTACAGTACTTCCGTTGGATATTATACACTTGCAAGTGTGAGATGGGCTCTTAAGCAAGTAATCCCAACCAAATTTGCATTGGGTTTAGTACCCATTAGATATAGGGTTTTCTAACTGCTGTTTTTTTTATCAAGATCTTAAAATTCATGTTTTCATACTTTACGGACCTAAAAATATATCGTTTGAAATTTCATGTCCTTATATTTAATTAAAAGTTCTTTAAAATATTTTTCGAGACATAATTTAAACTCTTATTTTTGTATTAAATATTTATTACTTTGCCGCTTTCCTTCTAAATTCCATTGGACTATTGGAATCATTTGCCATATTAAGAAATACTTAATTAAAATAATGATAATTCTGATTTTATTTATCTTATGGCGGTCATTAACAAACTATAAGCAGAGCTGTCAGATGATAGCGTTGTGGGTGTGGAGAGTTAGGAGCCGTTGGATGATAGACGAGGTGGGCTGGCTCAACTTTTTTGTGGGGTAGGGAGAGAGGTGGCTGTGGGGGAAGTTTAAGATGTCACAATCTGCCCACCCATACATTATACATAAACCTCATTTGGGCCTTTTGAGAAAACACCAAAATGTGGGCTCTATTCCATGGCCTCTGCCTCAGCTTTTGGGTTTAAATCACGTTTTCTATCACATTTTTGCTTTACTGGTTGAACTGCAGACTGCAGTCAAAGAGATTAAAGTTGACAATTGTCAAGATCCGGCCTGCTCATTCGAAGCTTAATTGTGTGGCGTGGTTTCATTTTGTCTACAATGTAACACCTACCCTGATTACTTTATTGGATAAAGAACAATATCTGCAATCATTTCGCTGTAATGTAATCTATTACTCCTACATGGTAAGAAAATATAATACACTTGTGTATCGTACAAATTTATGCTCCTTAAATTGATATGTACATTGTAAGTTTAAGAAAAGGAGGAGATTTTTATTATCCTATAATCATCCAGCCGTTCTACCTTCATCCTCCGATTTATTTGTCTGGACATGTTTCAGAAATTCAATATATATATATATATATATATATTTAAATAATGTTTATTTGCTCCCAAATCAATATTCAATTTCTTGAATTTGAAGGGATAGATATTCACCCACAAACTATTTTAAGATTCATAACTAGACAAAAACAATTATTATAAATTTTAAAAACGTTTTTTACTATTATTTAAATAATAAACCATTCCCATTGTAGCGGGAGAATTAATAATATTGGTTTTTGTAACCCAAATCTCAAGCAAGCCGTCGGCAGAGTGCATGACTTTTAACCATGTGAGACGGCGCTCTGAATTAGTTTTGCCATTTCCTCTCAGTGTTCGACAGTTAAAGGATCGGTTATCTCTAACATTTGTACTTTTTGGCATCTCCAAAACCAGAAATGTTGCAGACTGCATTCCAACTTCGATTTGCTAGGAAATGATTAAAAGAAAAGGTGTATACCTAGGAACAAAGACTACTCTGGTTCGATAGAAACGAGCAAAATTGGAATTGCATAAAGGTTAATGTAACACCCCAACCCGCACCCGACCCAAATACGAGTTCGAGATGTCACATTAACTTTTTAAAACAATATTTTTACAAAGTAACAAAACATTTGCACTTATATTAAGAAAATATAATAAAATACTATTAAATTATGCTTCATTATAAAAATTTAAGGCAAAAAACGTTTTGTGAACAGTACTATACGGTATGAACAGTACCGTGAACAGTGAAAATTTTCGAATATAAATTATGTAGCGATGCACTGCTACAGTACTACTACAGTAACTTTCGTAAAACGTACATGAAACTCGTAAAAATTTAACTGTTCATTACTATGCATTTACATTTACATAAATACGTTTAAAATATTACAAAACTCGATCACAGCATAAATACTTAATTTATTGATTTTGTTTACATGCTAATCTATTTTCACATAATAAGGCATACTATTTAATCTACTTCTGATCTGACCTTCAAGTGGATATATGTTGTTACTTTGAACTTAGCTTCGATCCTCCTGTCTTTCAGTACCTACGTGTAAATCACTTACACGCTAAGTGATAGACTTAGTGAGGCATAAACATATAATAAAGCATTTCTAAAAATATGAACATGAAATCTACTATCCAAATACAATCATGTCTGTAATATCATCATTTACCATATCATATATAAAGCAATGTAAATAATAATACTATATTAAGATACAATCATGTGCATACTCTTTATGTCCTTTATAAGCCCATGTACATTATTGAGAACTCAAGGTATGTGAGTACACTGAGTGAGTACACACATGCTGTCACCACAGCTCATATAATAATCTGTCCATATGTCCCGAAGAACATAGGTAAACTGTCCATATTTCCCGAAAGACATAGGTAATCTGTCCATATGTCCCAAAAGACATAGGTAATCCTGTCCATATGTCCCGAAAGACATAGGTAATCCTCGACTCTTGGCATGCTAACTATACCCCTAGCTCTCATATCACATAACATGGGCACTATCATTATAATTCATATCATTGCTCTTATGATCAAATATTTCTTTTCTTTTGTCACATACCACATGTATGTGTAACCATCTATCCCATATCTTATAACATGTATCATATATTGCATACCTTCACTTATCTCATATCATATAATTTATGTTACGTCCTCTTATGTTCACATGACATATAATACATACAAATCATATTCACACACGCCTTTACTCATAAATTCATACATTATACAAATCATATCATTCATATGCTTATATTTATGTCTTCATGTACTATAATTATAGAAAATAGACTTATCGCAAGTAAAATTTCCATACAATTCTATATCAAAATAAAATGCACTCACCTTAGCCTTGCTTAATTCCAATTGATTCTAATTCTTTAATTGTTCCAGAACTTGCTTACGTTCGATGTCTACATAGTCATACATATAGTATACATATAAGCATTCCACTTGGCATACTATAATCTTTCATTTCCTTAAACTAAAGGAAAGACTACTTTCATTTCTTGTTTAACATATGTATTGGTATACTCTATAATATATCGATACATTCTTTAACGTGTGTATCGATGCACTGCCTATGCATCGATATACAAATTACATTCGATGTTCTCATTTTAAGGGGTGCATCGATACACTTCTTGTGCATCGATACACACTGAATAATTTTTGGAAATTTATCCTTGATGCATCGGTACATGTTGAATGTGTACCGATGCACACTAGCCTAGAATTCCAATTTTTGCATGAAAATTACTTCATTCTAACTTAATTGTGCCATATTTCAACCCCTGTCATATTCTTAACTCAAGTTCACATGTTTATCCTCATTTATATTCATTTATCCCATCATTAACCTCTATATTCTATTCTCTTTATGAAATTCAAGAATCATACTCAAATTTCAACATGTTCTAAATTCAATTCTAACACTTGATTCTTCTTAATTAGGTTGATGACAAGTCAAATCCAACTTCCAATTTTAATTATGAACTCTATTTCAAGATTTTACTCAAGAACCTCAAATCTTTAATCTCTCATAACTCCTTCATCCTTTGATTTTAAGATAAATTAAAATTAAGCTTTCCTTAAACTTAGTTATCATCTAATGATCAAAACTCATACTTAAAATCAATAAATAATTAGCTAACAAGAAAACTCACCTTTAATGGAGACTTACGGGGAGAAGAAGAAGGAGAAGAAGGCAAGGAAATAAGCTTCCAGATACTCCTTCACCCCATGCTTATCTCTTAAATTAAGAGATAAATATCTTTTACCTGAAAAGACTACCTTACCCTTCATACTTTTATTCCTCATAAGTTAATCCAATACCAGAATATATCACTTTAAATCTCTAAACTTTTCAATAAATTCTACTTTACTCACCAAATTCTAAAATCTTACAATTTAGTCACTAACTCGGTATTGAAGATGTTACAGTTAATGCATATAAACTGCAATGAGCATGTAGACACCCGTTTTTATCCGGGACAAAAAAATATATTATAGTATATTATTATTATTATTATTATTATTATTTTTATTAATTATTATTTTTACATGTTGCAGGCCATTGAACATCCCTCCAACTCGTCACCTACATCAACACCCAACAAATCCCACCAAATCATTGCCAGATTCAAAATATATTTTACCTACTCCAACCAGTGAGGCCTACTCTATGCACCAGATTTCATTATTCAGCAAAAAAAAACATAAAGCAAGGAAGAAGAAAAAGGAGAGGGGGTCATTACCTTATCTCCTTGTTGGCAGCAAAGAAATATGGGATAATTCCACCTAATCCAACCGAAAGAAATGATTTAAGGGGCATTCAACGAGAAAAACGAGGGGGAGAGGATAGAAACAAGGGGGATTCGGGTTTTGACAGAAAAGGGGATAAAAAAAAAGAGCTCGGGTAAACAAGTCGAAAAGGAAGGATAAAAGATAGTATTCAAACCACACAAAAAAAGAGAGAAGATATCTTACCGAGGTTCGGATCGAGTCTGGAACACCAAAGGTCGCCGGAGTTCAAAGTATTCAAAGGTAATCAAACCTAGATCTAGGACTTAGAGGGTTTTTTAAGTAGAATAGGTTTGATTTTTGGGCTAAGGGAGATAAAGGGATCATTTTGGGTTTGGGTTGTTGCTCTGGCCACCGTAAGTGGCCGTGAGCGCCACCAGGAGCGATTGGCTCTTTCTCGGCCGATGAGGGAATATTTGAGAGAGTTTGGGAACT